GTAATCTACGCCATATTAAAATACTAAAAATAGAAAAACAATCCTAAAACCAGCAGAAAACCAATCGATATTAGTTGATATTTTGATTATAAAAGTTGAATAAAAACTGCGAAGGATATATAAAGGGAAGATATATATATATATATATATATATATATATATATATATATATATATATATATATATATAAGTGTGTGTGAGTGTGTATATATATATATATATATATATGTGTGTGTGTGTGTATATATAGTGTGTGTGTGTGTGTATATATATATATATATATATATATATACAAGAAAAATTATGTAGTTTATAATTTATTATATAAATTAATTGTTATATAAATTAATTTAATATATTAATAATATAATAATAATAATGATTTTAAATATTAATAAAATAAAATATCAATATAAATTAATATAAAATATTAAAAATAAAAATAAAATTTTAATAATAAAATTAATTTAAAATATAAATTATATATGTATTATATATAAAGGAAAGATTAACCTAAAAGGTCTACATTAACCAATGTCTGAATTTCTTTTGGGATTCCTTCTTGGCCGACCCTACAAAATTTTCACAAATGTCTGGATGAATTTAAACCATTTTGTAATTTCAGTCTGATAAGGTAGATATTAAAAACTTTATCTGTCGAAATAAATTTTACCGAATTCTTAGATGATGTGTTAAGTTATTTCCTTGTTGATGCATATTGCTCTGTATATAAATACATTGAGCTCTTTTCATGGATCTATCGTTTTTATATTTCATAATAAAAAAAAAACCTACTTGGATTATCCTTAACACTTATTTATATATATATATCGGTGTATCCATCATTAACCGCTAATCTCAAGTCTATTGATTTGCCTATCAACGTCTTCTCGCTTGCTGATCATGATCAGGATTTAATCGAATAAATCGATATCGTTCATTATAGCCCCTCATTCGTCCGGTTTTATTTATTAGAATGCAGTAATCGAAATCGATCTGCTAGCGACTCAAGGGACACTAACATTTAACAAAACAAAAGACGTAGAGATTCCAGACAATGACAACAATTATATTTCGGGGAAAAGCAAGAACAAAATGTGGCTGGATATCATAGCTTCGTCCTCCTCTGTGTGTCTATATGGTCAATTTGTATTATATGCAGAGGGAAGACTTTATTCTTCCTTTTAACACAACTTCCGCTTGCATTAATCTTCAGCAGAATGCATTCTTCAGTTCTGATTTGATTTTATAGAAATATTCGACTGCATTCAACCTTGGTAGTTATTTAATGACTTTTTCTGTGTCTGGCTCAAGGCTTCAAAAGAATGTGAGCTAAAAGTTCAAACTCAGTTGAAACAAAAAACAAATCTTCTTCACTATATATATATATATATATATATATATATATATATATATATATTACCACATTACAAAGATACATGTCACCTGTCAGGATAAGACATATTTCACTATTTAAGAAATCTTTTTGATATCTTGATTGCAGAAATTACGAAGAAAAATATTTTGTTTAGGTACCACCAATAATTCGCTAAAAAGTCAGTATAGCATGATGATAAAAGGCTCCTAACTTAATAAAACAAAGTTTTAACCACAAAATGTTTATGTTATTATTAAAAGGAAAGAACAAAGTATTTTTTAATTATTTTTTCAAAGATTTCGTCCTTTCTACCACGTTCTAAATTTGGCTAAAAAATCTCGGGGTTTTTTGTCAACTTTCTAAGACTTGTGGTAATGGACAGTTTCCAGTGTAGCAGTTTCCAGTGTAAAACATTAATTTGGAAATTCTTGCAAAAATTAAATAATTGTCTGATTTTAATGAAAATTTCAGGAAATATTAAAAAATGAATTAATTTATTCTTTTAAACTTTTACGTTTAGAAAATCTTGGTAAAAATATTTTTCATACATCTGTTACACCACTCCCCGACCCTATAATTTAATTTCATGAAATTTTATAGAGTTTCAAATAGTTGGCAATTTTTTTATATTACTTATAAGCAGGATTCCTTGGAGAAAGTAAATCATCAATATTTTTTTACAACTACTCCCAACATTTTAAAAATCTGCTCCAAATCGTAAAATAAAAACTGCAATAAACTATCTAATTATCAAATTAGATAGGCTTTTATTTCCTTTTATAAATAATATACATTAAGGACATTATTGTTTGAAAGAAAAAAAATTTCGATGAATAATTAATTTTTGCAAGAATTGTTTGCATTTTTCTTTAATTTTTCAAGATTTGTTTTCACTTGTCTTTAAGTTTAAAACCGTTTTAAAATTCTTCCAGAGTATAAGTTAGGTTATTAAGTTATTAATTGAAAACTATATTTAGTAAACAAAAATTAAAATCCTAATACAAATCATACTCCCAAAATTTTTACCATAATTAAAGATATTTTTGTTCATCAAAATGTTATATTTTTTAGTATGGTGTATCGTAAGTGATATAGTGGTTAAAAGGTCACGTGTTTCAAGGTTTTTCCCCCTTAGAGAAAACTCTTTAATATAAAGGTTTTCGGCTGCGAGCATTCCTTTCATTTCACTTCTGTGTTTCACCGTCCCTACGCTTCAACAGGTTTCTTTTTAAATCTTGATTTCTAATAGGAAAACCTATTTCACTAAATATTATTAATTTTGCTATGTATTCATCTTACTTTATAGTGTGTATGCTTGTCATAGTGCGTTTCATGCACAATTTGTTTTATTTATTAGTTTTTTTACTTAATTAAGAAAAATAATTTAATTTGTTTTTAGTTTATTTTAAGTTTCTTTCTTTTTTGTGAGTTAAATAAAATAACTTTAAGAATTCATAAATATCAAAGTATAGCAATTAATAATAAAGAATATAAATATATTATCTCAGTCAGTTAAAAATTTAATAACTGAGAGTGAGTTAATAATTTAATTTTTAATTTGATAACTGAGATAATATAATTAAAATTATTATATCATCTCGGTTATCAATTTAAAAATTTAATAATTGAGAGTGATATAGTTATTAAATTATTTTACTCTCAGTTATTAAATTAAAAATTAAATTGAGATAATAAAATTATCTCATTTATCAATTTAAACAATAACTGAGTGAGATAATCTAATTATTAATATAAAAATAATTTTATTAATTATTATCTCAGTTATTAAGTAAACATGTAATCCTTAATGTATTATTAATAGTTAATAAAATTATTTATCATTATATTAGCTATTAAATAAGGAAATACCATTACAGAGGTAACTCAATAATGTAAGAAATTTTATAGTATTTTAAATTATTATAAGAAACAAAAAATACCGTTCTTATTTAGAATTCATAAAATTATGTGAATTCTGTTGCACCATACTAAACCTGTCAACACATTCAGCCATCAATTATCAATGGCGTCGTGAAAATAACAAGACCCCGAGTTCAAGAAATGTCTAGAAAATTTTATGCTATAAGTGACATTTGTTTAAGAACAGACTAATTTAACTTTAAATTTGCTAATTTAACGAAAATAATGTTTCAGAAATGTATTTTTTATTTTAGAGAGATTTTCAAAACCGAAAAAATGTTTACATTTCTCTAAAAACGTTTAAAATGGCTGTTTCCATTGGTTATTTCAGAAGAATCGGCTAAAAATCGTTCAAATTTCTATTTGAGATACTCCATAGTATTTTTTTCTGGAATTAAAAATTTAATCCTTTAAATTGAATTTCAATCTAAGCTGGGGGAAATCTTGAAAAGCTGATTTTTTCCTTTGTGAAAAATACATTTAAATCTTAGGTATACGTATTTTTGGAGGTACCTAATTAAGTTCTATAATCAAAAGATTGAGTTAGAGAATTTCCTCTCCCCTCAAAGAAAAGAGTTTGTTGCGTTTTCACTTTTAGTGTTGTTGGCAGTGGTCTGAGTAGTGAAAAAACACCAACCCCTAAGTACGTGCCAACAAAAAGGCAAAGACTGCAAATAGCTTTAAGAAATTAAAAGCGTCATAATATGCAGAACGTCGATTCTTCTTGCATAGGTGCAGGCCAGTCAGAATAAATATGCTAACCAGTGTTTATCACCGAAAGTTTTACAGTGGACATGCGAACCAATCAAACTATATACTCTCCCTATCGACGGAGAAAATTACAAATATTTGCCGAATTATTACAAACCAACGTTATTTTACTTTAATTAACCTTGTATGTTACCTGAAGTAAATGGTAAAGTCATTATCCTGAAGAATCAATTGCACTTGAATGCATTGTGGGAAAACAACCCAAATGAGACAGTGTGATTGTTTGTGCCATTTTCTGTTGGAAATCACTGGATCTTTTCATTCATAAAGAAGGTATTTTGTGACATATCACCTACCTAAGTATCAGTAAAGAGCATGTATGTCCCTTTACTAACCAGAATCTCCTAACATATTTCTCTAGGAAAATACGTATTGTTACATTGCCTAAGGACTGGGAAAAAATCGTTTCAGGCACATGAAAAACCTCCTCGTGTTCTTCTACATATGAGTGTGTGTGTGTGAGTATTTTTGTTATTAATTATAAAATATATTTTATTTAACTGAATTTTTATTAATCAACAAATATAATTTTATTGTAGCATTCCCTCTGTAATACGTTTCATTAAAATGACTGACAAAGTACTTTTATTTTGAATTTTGTATTTTTTATTTATGTGAAGAATAGCTTTCTTTTTTGGACATAGTGAATATATAAATTGCCCAAATGATAGTTCGTTCCAAGCGTTTTCGGATATTCTATTAGTCATTTTTAAGGATTTTTGGGGTGCTGTTCTAAATAAGATGCCAAAAAGTAGACATCTTTTTAATTCCTGAATTGATGTATAGATATTTATATATGCATATGCCTTTCTCCCTCATTCAGTCTCTATATGTATACATATCTCTATCTCTTCGTGTAAGTGAATATAATGAATATGAGTGGAATTGGAACTTGGTTCTCCGATGTCCAATTCCGATCTGTTATTCATTT